CCCAGAGTTCAAGTCCCATGACCAACAAAAAAAAAATTTGCATTTTGATAAATCCAATTATTTATTTATTATTATTACTATTGGGGCTGTGATTTAAACTTAGAACTTCATGTACACTAGGTAAGTGCTCTGCCATTGAGCCATACCCCTCAGCCCTGGATAAAACTTATTAAATCCATAATTATTTTAATTCTTTATTTACTCAGCTTTTTATTTTTAATTAATGTACTTTATTGTTATTACAGAGGTGATGTTCAGAGGGATTACAATTATATATCAGGTAATGAGTACATGTCCTTTATTCTATTATTTATTTAGTTAGTTATTTTTGTCACACATGGGGCTTGATATCGGCCTGGGAGCTGTCCCTCAGCTCTTCAGCTCAAGGTAGATGCTCTACCACTTGAGCCACAGTACCACTTCCAGTTTTCTGGTGGTTGATTGGAGATAAGAGTCTCAAGGACTTTTCTGCCTACGCTGGCTTTGAACCAGGATCCTCAGATCTCAGCTTCCTGAGCAGCTAGGCTTACAGGTGTGAGCCACCAGCGCTCAGAGCCTTTATTTTTTATTTTTAAGATGGAATCTTACTTTATAACCTAGGCTGGATTCAAATTTGTGATCTTGTGACCAATCTGCCTCTGCTTTTCCAGTGTTGAGATTATAGGCATGCCACTAAAAAATTCCAAGCATTTCTCTTTTCTTTCCTTTTTTTTTTTTTTTTTTTTTTAGGTAAGGTATCACTATGTAGTCCAGGCTTTCCTTGAACTCAAGATTTCCCTGCCCTAGTCTCTTATTTATTTATTTTTTTGGTCATAGGGTTTGAACTCAGGGCCTTGGCACTGTCCCTGAGCCTTTTTTGTACTCAAGGCCAATGCTCTACCACTTGAGCCACAGTGCCACTTTCAGTTTTTGAGTGGTTAATTGCAGTTTGGGGACTTTTCTGTCTCGGCTGGCTTTGAACCATGATGCTCACATTTCAGCCTCCTGAGTAGCTAGGATTGTAGGCATGAGCCTGGCTTAATTTATTGTTCTTTTGGTTTTTTTTTTGTTGTTGTTGTTGGTCGTAGAACTTGAACTCTGGGCTTGGGCGCTGTCCTTGTGCTCTTCAGCTCAACGCAAGCGCTCTATCACTTGAGCCACAGTGCCACTTCCAGTTTTCTAGTGGTTTATTGGAGATAAGTGTCTCACAGATTTTCCTGCATGGGATGGCTTTGAACTGCGATCCTCAGATCTCAGCCTTCTGAGTAGCTAGGATTACAGGTGTGAGCCACCAGCACTTGGCTTAATTTATTGTTTTTTATATTATTAATTAGGCTTTAGCTCCTAATGCTTCACTTTAGGGGATAATCCTTTGCCTAAACACAACTTGCTCTATCCTCAAAGAAATTAGCATATGATAAAATATACACTGTATAATATATGGTGATTTGTAACATTAAAAAATAGTGCATATACTATTTTCCTACCACATATTTCTACATTTTAATATGCTAGTTATATTAAAAAACAGAAGGCTGACTTACACTATTTCAAAATGTGCATGTAATGTTATTATCATACATCTATAAAGTTTTCTGTGGTTTATATTTTCCTGTTTGCTTTAATCCCACTAACAATGCAGCAAAGTAAATAGTATTAAATCCATTCTTCTTCTCTGAAGCTGAAACTAAGCCAAGTCAAGAAACTTGTCCAGGGACCTAATGCTAAGGAATGGTTAAGCTAGGACTTGAATACAAGTGGTCCAGTGCCAAGCCTCATGCTCATCCCATTTCAATATGCGCCACACAGTCTAGTTCTCAATCAGATTCATGACAGTTTAATAATCTCACATTCAAAGAACAACACTGAGTTCACATGCATCCTTCTTTCAAAGCATCACAAAGCCATCTCTCACAGTGGAAGAAATTTTAAAATCCTCTAGATATCCTTCTAGTTCAGAAGCTTCAACCTTAGATCTTGGGTTTGGCCTCCCAAAATTTGGGCGGAGAAAGTCAATGGAGACACCTGAGTCCTAGCCAAAGAACTGTTAGATTATTTCTACCAATCTCTAAATAGCCCAAGTAGTTTTCTCTGAAGAAAAGACCACAATCTAAAATGTAAACTTTTAACATACCCTTATTCTGCTTAGAATAGTTTGTCTGCATTATTAGCATAAGGACCCAAACCCTTGAATATAATTTTTTAGTTCTAATCATACCTACATTCTCCTATCTAAAAATGTAAGCAGATTATACAAACTAGGGAGTCAATTTTTATTTGGATATTGAGTCCACTCAGACTCTCTCTGGTGAATTTCATCTGCCCAACCAGGAAACCCAACATGGTTGGGAATACAGGGGGAATACAACTTGCAGCTCTCAAGCATTCTCCCCATCCCAACTCCAGGACTGGGGCTTGAATTTAAAGACTGGCAGTTAGCCCTTAGCTTTTTCACTCAAAGCTGGAACGCTACCGCTTGAGCCACATCTCCATGTCTGGCTTTTTGCTGGTTAATTGGAGATTAGAGTCTCACAGACTTTCCTGTTTTAGCTGGCTTCAAACTGTGATCCTTAGCTCTCAGCTTCCTGAGGAGCTAGAATTCCCAGATTACCAGGGCCCAGCTCCAAGTCTTTTTTATACTGATTTAGAATTCACTTTCTCCTTTAGATCTCAAATTGGTCCCTTTCATTAGGAAGCCAAGGGGTGAGGTGGGAAGGTTTTCTCTGGGATGATGGAAAGGTAGGCGAGGAATGAAGCAGGTCCAAAGTCACACATAGGCCTAGCTCAGATTTAGGGTCAGAAGACAAACTCCAGCTCCCTATATCCATGGGTCTGGTCTTCTGTGGACAGCATCTTAAAATAAGAGAAAAGATTTGGGAGCAGCTACAAACTCTCCTCCAGAAAAAGGGGAAAGCAGAAAGGAATCTGCTTGCTCCCATCTCCAAAATCCTTTTCTCTTCAATCTCTCTGCAGGCCAAGCCCCCATCTCAAAGCTCCTCTCCTTTGTTTGTCTGGAAACATTCTCTCACCCTCCCCCATAGCCTCTCTCTTAAGGAAGTTACTAACTGGTCTCCCTCTGTCCTGTTTGCTTGGGTCTAAAGAGTACCTGTGAGGATGGAAAGAAACTGGTTCCATGAAGTACTTCAAACTCTGTCTTAGTAGAGGGTGAAGCATACACAGTTCACACTTTCTCAGGGAAGAGAAAGGTTGTATGATTCTGGCAATATAGTATACAAAGCAGGAGGGCCAACAATAGAAACAGACATGGACAATAAGGAGGATTGAAAGCCAGAAAGAGACGAAGAGAGACAACTTTGAGGTCCCTTGTTGGAGGGATGAGGGTATTTACCCCTCCCATTCTCAAAGAAACCTGAGAAATGTTAAGAGCCCTTCCTGGAACCTGTTCCACCTGCTTCCTCTTCGTCTCCGAACTCCATTGTTTATGGAGATCCATCCCTGAACTCTTGCCCTCCTGGACTTGCCCTAGCTCAGGCCCCAGGCCTCCAGTCAGGCAGACACCCTGACAGGTTACAAATGAGTGTGGGTGTTGGGTTGCGTCAAGCCCTTGTCTTCTGAGTCCGGAGGAGGAGAAGAATCAATGGACTCTACCTAAGAACTCTTCCAGTCCCATCCAGGGACTAAGAGAGTGAGAAAGGCACTTCCTGTTTCCCCTGCCCCCCCCAACCCTAACCCAATAAGACAGTGCAGAAAAGGCTGAAGCTGCTCTTCTCACTCTTGGTATTCACTAACTAAGGGCCTCTGCACGGATCTCTCATTTCTCTGAGCAAACTCACTTTATCCTAGAACATTTGTGGGAAATTTGGGCCATCTCTAACTAGTATTAGATTCAGGAGATAGAGGATGATGAAGGAGAGAGGGCAGGAGAAAGAACCAGAGGAATGCAAGATCTCCACTAGCTTCAAATACTTTGGAAAAAGAATAAAATTTCCCCTCCTCTCCACTCCCCTGTGAACATCACCTTGCTCTGCTCATTGCTGCTCTCTGGAGAGACATAAGGAGTTATTTAAGTCTGAGTGAGTGAGCCAGCTACAGCTATGGATGGCTAGAGAGAGGATAAATACATCTAGAGAGATGAGTTGATGGATAGGTGGAGAACAAATATAAATATGGAGAGAGATGGACGAACAGAGAGATGGATTGAGACAGAGAATATAAAGAGAGGCTGAGGGAAAGAAATGGATGGGGGAGCGTTTATGTAGAGAGATGGAGCCAGAAATGGGGCATTTCTCACCCTCCTCTTCACATTTCTCTAGTCCTGTCTTGCTTCCTTGAAATGCTATTTTCCCACCCCTCACTTAATGAAGGCTTTCTTGGGAGTTTTAGACCTTGTCTTACACCCTGAGGTGTTTTTACACCCCCTCCCTTCACAGTCATCCATTTGGCCCAAGATAACGCACCTCACCCCGCTGCTCTAGCCCATCACCCAAGAGAAAGAAACAGTAAAAACCAAGTTGGGCAAAGTAGGCAACTGGATTTCACCCATCCTCTAGGTATTGGGAAGGGGGGGCATCTTTGAGGGGTGGGAAGCGTGAGGGACAGCTGGGTTGAATTTGTCCAAATCTAATAATCTAGGGGCCTATTGAAGGCATTGGGGGCTGGGAAGGGAGGGAAGTCTTGAATATTCTTCCAACTTTAACCCCCCCTCCCTCTGGTCCCTTCTTTCCAAAAGTCTTTGAAGAAAGATGTTTTTGACGCTTCCACGTCACTCTCAGATGGATGGGCTGTGGGTGATTGAAGTGTCTTTGTCATGCTAATGTTTGGGGGGTGATGGATGGGCGCTGGGGCTGCCAAACTCTGGCCCGCTTAGCCCATTGGCCTGGGAGAGATCACATGTGGGTCCCCCCCACCCCCATTCCCTACTCTTTTCCTAGGGGAGCGCTGGGCCCAGGCGTTCTGGCTCAGGCCATGGATGCAAGCCTCAGGGCTGTGACATACTGCCGAAAGGTTGTAGGGCAAGAGGGTGTCTCCCCCAAACGGGCCGACCCTCTTGCGGCCTACGCATGGACTATAATAGGATGAACTCCTTCTTAGATTACCCACTCTGTAATCGGGTATCCAGCGCTTACAGCAGCGCCCATAGCGCCCCGGCCTCTTTCCCCCCCAGCTCGGCTCCAGCCATTGACAGCTACCCAGGAGAAGGTCGCTATGGTGGGGGGCTGCCCAGCCCAGCGCTCCAGCAGACCTCGGGCTATCCCGCCCAGCAGCAGCCTTCAACTCTGGGGGTACCATTTGCCAGCTCTGCACCCTCGGGGTACGCCCCAGCCGCCTGCAGCCCCAGCTACGGGCCTTCTCAGTATTACTCTCTGGGTTCACCAGAAGGTGAAGGAAGCTATTTTCAACCATCCAGCTACGGGGCCCAACTAGGGAGTTTGCCGGATGGCTACGGAGTGAGTGGGCCTGGCCCGGGGCCCTACCCTCCACCGCAGCCCTCCTACGGGACTGAACAGAGCGCGGGCTTTGCACCAGCCTATGCAGATCTCCTCTCAGAGGACAAGGACTCTTCGTGCCCTTCAGACTCCAGCACGCCCACGGCCCGGACCTTCGATTGGATGAAGGTTAAGAGGAACCCACCCAAGACAGGTAGGGCTCAAACGTGGTCCAAGGCAGCTCAGATGCCCGGCACTGAAGTGGCTGAGGCTGGCCTCTTCTCTCTCAGTCCCTCTGATCGGGGCAGGTAAGTACAGTCTGTGGGTCTCAGATCAGATGAGATCACCCCCCTTTTCCTCATCTTCCCGCGCAGTTAAGTGCAGGGTAACCCCCTAAGAGTAGTCCTCCATCCTTACCCTATTTCCTGCTCTGTGTGTCCAGTTTGCAATCAGGACTAAGTGGGGCAGGGGAGGTTGGAAGTATGGGGATGGCTGCCTCCAATTCTCCCCATGGAGAGCTGAAGTTGGACCGGACAGTAAATGAAGTACAGCCTGGATTGGGGTGGGGTGGAGTGGCGGGGGGGAGCGGAGAGGAGAAAGAGGTGAAGGAACTGAGCTACCTTTCTCCCCGCCCCACCCCTAGCGAAGGTGTCGGAGCTGGGACTGGGCGCTCCAGGTGGCCTCCGCACCAACTTCACCACCAGGCAACTGACCGAGCTGGAGAAGGAGTTCCATTTCAACAAGTACCTGAGCAGGGCCCGAAGGGTGGAGATCGCCGCCACCTTGGAACTCAATGAAACGCAGGTCAAGATTTGGTTCCAGAACCGACGCATGAAGCAGAAGAAGCGAGAGCGAGAAGGAGGCCGGGGACCCCTCCTTCCACCAGGTTGCTGCAAGGAGGCTGTGGGAGAGGCCTCCGACCAGTCCACATGTACCTCCCCCGAAGCCTCGCCCAACTCCATCACCTCCTAAACCAATCTCCCAAAGAACAGGGGCTCTTCTTGCCACTGGAGCACCCCCATCCAGCTCTCTCCTAGGCTCTCCCCACTTTCACTGCCCTGGTGACCCTCTCTTAGGCTAGGGTGCCAGTTCATAGCTGTCCAAGGAAGGGGAGCAGGAGCTGGGAAAACATTTTTTCCCAGGTCTGGGCATGGGGTGGGAGTGGGGGGGGGTTGATGGCTGGGGATCCTACGGGACCTGAGAGTTTCAGAGATGTGTCCCAACCAGTCAAAGATGAAGGCAAGGGCTCTGCCTTTGATTTTGGCATCCACTGGGGTGGGGGTGGGAGCCAGCCCAACGCCCTGGATTCTTCCTTCTTCCCCTACCAACTTCAGTTCAGTGCCTTTAAGCTTGGAGAACTAGATCATGCACTCCTACCCCAACTCCTCTTTGTAGGCCTGGGATTGGATTTGCTTGTGTGTGATGTGTTTGAGTGCAGGTATGTTATCACCAATCCTTAACCCAGTCACCACAGACCTTACAATAGCATCAGCTTGCCTTGTGACAGACCAAAAAGCTCTTCCTTGTAACCTTATGAGCCAACGCCTGGTACATTTCGATTGCACTACTGCAGCCTGCAGAGGTTGTTTTCTGAAACCCGGCCCCTCCCACTAGCGACCTCATCACTAAATCACCAAAGTGTTGTGGAACTTGAGACTTCAGAGACTTCTAGAATGAAGCACAAGGACTGCCTTGAGCAAGTCTCAGCCAGGAAGGAGCAGGCACCCTCCCACTGTACCCCCATCCTTATTTATTGTCTCCTGGAGTTCCAGGAACTTCTTTCCCAGCTCTGTCCCTACTCCTGGAATCAGTCAGCCCAGGGAAATCCAGGTACCAGGAGAACTCCCCGCAGCGCAGCGCCAAGTGTTTCTCTGAGTGAAGTAGAGTATATGGGAAACTCAGGCCCCAAGCAAGCCAGGTGTGTGTGTGTGTGTGTTCGCGTGCGCGCATGTGTGTGTTTTTCTTTCTGTATATCTAACTACCTCAATTCAATAAAAGCTGTTTCCTTCTCTATCTTGCCGCCTCTGCTTCTCCTTCTAGGGGTAGAAGAGGCCTGCTAACACCATGAGACTGTTGGCTGGTTGGGCTGGAAAAGCTGAGCTTTTTCTCAAGGGGGGGGGAAAGAGAAGAACTTCCTGGGTTCGGGCCTAAGCAGAATTGGAGCTGGGCCATGTAGATGCAACAGTATGATTGCTCACTGAAAGTCTCCCCATCATCAGGGAACCCAGCTGGGAGGGGTAAGCTGGTCTTGAAAGAAGAGCAGGAAGGAAGGGAAAGAGGACAAAAAGAGGGTGTAAGGGGAGGGGCAGGTAAACTCGATTTTTTTTCACTTTCCCTTCCTCCATCCCTTCTTTCCAGAGCTGGGCTTGGTATACGGAGGAGTAAAGCTGGCAAAGGTCGGGCTGCCTGGTGCTCCTTGCCCTCATTCTTGCTCAGAGAAAGCCACAGGATGGATTGTTGCCTAATTCCGGACTGGCACACAGATTGACATCTCCCCTCCTTCCCCAGCACCCTCCCTCCAGCCCGTGCCCTTCCACACAGGGACCTCACTCGTACCTCTGCCTTACCCCGACTCTGGCTGGCTCAGGGCGATTGCCCGGTCTCCCAGGCCTGGATGGCTAGGGGAGCGGGACTATGCAAAGGAGAGATTGTGGCGGTGGTTGGAGAAGGCGCACCGGGTAATCGGAGGGCTACAAAGTCTGGCATGGGCGGAGGCCGCTGAGCTCGGTTCGCTCTGCTCATAAGCTGACCTTTTTACCTCTAAGCACTTCTAGGCTTTCCAAACAAGCCTGCGGCGCACCCAGAGGGTAGCTATTGTCTCTCTGCGGGTCCCACTAGCAAAACTTAGGTCTGCAGAGGTCGGGGATCCGGGCTCGGGTAGCTCTTCCCCGAGGTGCTGAAGCGATGAGGCTCTAGGCTGGGGTGGGGGGGGGCGTCTATTGATTCTGATTCTTGTTGCGGTGAAGGGGGGCGAGCGGGGGGGGGGGGGGGGGAGAATGGGGGGAAGGAAGCCTGCGGCCCTAGTGCCAGGACAGCACTCCGGGGGGGATTGTCCTACCTAGGTCCCATCTGTTTTGACTTGTGGCCTTTGAAAGGAAGACAGGCAGAGAAAAGGACGACGAACAAACGTAAGGACTGCTGAGCATTTGCTTCCTCCGAGAAACCGGTGACGTTATTCCAGAGGCACCGTCATCCATAATTGCACAGCCCAGCTGGAGAGGAAAAATGTCTTGCAAGGGGAAGCCTAGCTTTCCCAGGGGCTACTCTATTGCCCACTGTCTTAAAAAAAAATCTATTAGTTGCTTTTCTGCATTTAATTGAAATTGCCACTAAGCTTGACTTCCCCAAAGGGGTCACCTTGACAGAGAGGACAGAGCAAGTGTCTAAGAAAACAAAATTCTCCTTGCTTGGAGCCATTCAATAGCACCTTCCAACAAAGGTTGGCTCTCTTCCCGCCCCCCCCCCCTCAACCTTTAGACAGGATAGAAGAGGAAGGAACAGAGTTCAAGGTAAAGCTGGACTTCAAGGATGGCAGAGCTAGGTTTCTGACAGAATAACATGACCTGGGTAAGGAATGGTAGAAGGGACAGGAGAAAAAGGAAGTGTGGAGCATTTGATTTTTGGTCATACATGGCAGAAGGAAGCATCACATTCTCCAGGGAAGGGAGAGGGGCAAATCAATTCTTCATTAACACAGAGGCAAGCACAAAATAACCCACAGTCAATCTGAACCTCACACTCAGGTTTCTTAGATGCGAAGATGCAGTCTCCTACTGAAGACATTGCTCTCTCCTGCTAGAATGCTATTTCCAGTCAGAGTCCCCACACAGGTCAACAGAAGATATTTATTTGGAGAAAGAAAAACAATCTCATGGTATATTTTTCTTATCCTAAGTAACAAAAGACAGAATGATAATCAAGAACCCATTCTGCTCCAATTGACCCAAATCATGGATGACCACGATATATATATATATATATGTTCCATTTCAAGTCTTCTGGGGAGTAAAATTTGAAAGCCTTCTAAAGATCAGATCTTAAACAATATTTTAAAAGTTAAAATTTTAATCCAGGTGCTGGTGGCTCATGCCTGTAATCCCAGCTACTCTGGAGGCTGAGATCTGAGGATTTCAGAAGATAAGAGCCTTATCTCCAGTTAACTACCCCAAAACTAGAAGCTATGGCTCAAAATGGTAGAGCTGTAGCCTTGGACCAAAAAGCTCAGAGACAGTGCCCAGGCTCTGAGCCTTGAGCCCAAGCTCAAGCCCCATGGACTAACAACAACCAAAAATTTACACACATATATACACATTAGGTTGAAAGTTTGTCACCTTTTCTGAGGAGTACTTCCTCTTGGCCCCTGGCTGCCAAAATTGGAGGGCAGTCAAGTCTCTCCTCTCCCAGACTCTTTGCACCATCTGTTTCTCAAACCAAGTGTGAATGTTTCCTCTCCTATTTGCCTTTTTTCCCTTAGCATTTGTTCTCTCAATGTGAATCCCTTTGATCTTCTGGATGAGAGAAAAGAAGGGGTGGGGGGAGGAGTAAAACTCCTCCGAAGTTCTTCTTGTAATTCCAGGATTTCTTTGTTATTCCCTGTGCCAATACCTCTGAGTGCCTGGTCAGGAGTCAGGGTGGAGAGGTTGGATGAGGAGGTTCAGAACTGTGAATAGCTGATTTGGATGAAGGAGAAGAGGCTGGCTCACAAAGGAAGTCCAATAAGGTTGGAGAGATATCTGATATACCTGTGCTCAAGTCAAAGTCCTGCCTGGAGCTAGCCTTGTGGTATGGGCAAATTGCCTAATTTCTTGTGCCCAGTTGCATTGTTTATTAAGTCGGATATGGTTGGCACTTTAGCTCAGGGCTTATATTGGCATTAAATGGGTTAATATTTGTAAAATGTTTGAAACACACCTTAATAAGTATGAGCTAGAATAATATTTTTGCTCCTATTTTATTTTATATGCTTATGTTTATTATCTCTATAGAATAATAATTATTAGGGCTCAGAAACTGGCTTAGTGATAGAGTTTTTGCCTTGCATGCATGAAGCCCTGGGTTCAATTCCTCAGTACTACATAAATGGAAAAAGGTGGAAGTAGTGCTGTGTCTCAAGTGGTAGAGTGCTACCTTGAGCAAAAGAAGCTCAGGGACAGTGCCCAGGCCCTGAGTTCAAGCCCCAGGACTGGCAAAGAATAATAATAATAAAAGATATATACTCACTTCTCTTTTTATAGTCTGAGGGTATCTTGAATATGTCACATTTCACATTCATGACTTGTTTGATCTCTTGTCAGTGCATGAGGCTACTAGTGGAAAGAATTTTCTTCTTGCCAACTGAGGACACCCAAGTCTTCTGGCAGACACCTCCTCCTTGCTCTGCTCTCCACCTGCCCCCCTGTACAATAGAAGAGCTATATTGACCTCTTACGTTCTTTCTCTGCCTTCTGCATTATGGGAAGATGGACATGAAGTCTGGAAGGCAGGCCCTTCAAGTTCTTGATTTAGAGTAGCCAAGGGCAAAGGTTCTGAACTACAACTTAGTTTTCTGTGTGGTCCCTCTTTTCCTTTAGCTTACCATGCTGCCTATAGTGAATGCAGAGTTGAGAGTTCAGTAGAGATGTTCTATTTCATATATTCACAAGACATTTTTTTTCCTACTACTTCCTTACACTGGGCTACATTGTTGGCATTGGTATGATAAAAGCAGACAGACATCTTGGAGCTTCTGTTTTCCTCCCCCCTCCCCCCCCCCCACTGTAGCAGCACGTTTCCTTGGCATTGTGACTATAGGACTTGCTGCCAGGGAATAAAATAATTATGAATGAAATGCTTCAGGGGCATCCCACTGGTATTGGGTATTGGTTTATAGTAAAGACACAAGGAGGGGTATTTTTGATAGGGCAGTCTCCTGGCACAAATTTGGGAACACATTCTCATTGTCGTCCATGAAATTGGCGCCCCCTGCAGTTGTA